ATCCTTCATCTTGTTACCATCCTGCAAGAGCTGATGCATATGCTAAGTGTAGGGTTGCCAAGTCCTTACCTTATGAAGAGCGGGGGAGTCCAGCGCTGGTCCAGGGGAGAATTTTCCCTCTGATGATTGTGGCCCTGCCCCCAATGTGCCCGACGCAATCACGTCACCTCTGGGTGACGTGCTCACGCCAGGCAAGTCATGTGCTTTGGGGGTGGGGTTCCCCCCGGGCCCCGATCCACCACCAGCGGGTAACCCAGGGGGACTTGGCAAGCCTATGGTTGGCAGCCCATTCATAGCAATTATGATTCAGTTGTTCCTGTAGTTGTAGAACTGTTCGGTTTATGATAAATGTTTGTTACCTCGAAAACTGTAATACCTTGAATTTATTTTATTTTAATTTTTTATTTATTTATGTGGTTTCTACCCCGCCCTCCCTGCGAACGGGCTCAGGGCAGCTTACAATGATGGCACAAGTTGCCAATAAACAATAAAACAGTATAAAACAATACAATACTTAATAGAAATATAAAATCTAAAAACGTAAGGTGCTATTAATAGTACAATTCATTGCTACCATGGTGCAATCTGGTGTCTAAGCAACTACTAAATTCCAGTTCTCTGTCGTCCCGTGTCGCTTGATGGAAAGAGCCAGCTGCGTCGCTTGATAAAAAAGAGCCAGTTGTTAAAAACTGAGGGTCGGGCTCGTTGATGGTAATAGTGGAGGGGTGGCTCCTAGTCGAAGGCCTGATGGAAGAGCTCCGTCTTGCAGGCCCTACAGAATTGCAAAAGGTCCCGCAGGGCCCTGATCTCCGGGAGCTTGTTCCACCAGTGAGGAGCTGCCACTGAAAAAGCCCTGGCCCTTGTCTCGGTGAGCCTGGCCTCCTTGGGACCAGGGAGTGTCAACTGATTCTGTGACCCCGACCTCAGTGCTCTCTAGGGTATATGTGTGGAAAAGTATGTTGGGCCTTGGCCATATAGGGCTTTAAAGTTAAGCACCAGCACCTTGAAACGAATTTAGTATGCTATTGGCAGCCAGTGCAGGGCCTTCAGTACAGGCTGGATGTGCTCCCATCTAGGTAAGCCCATCAACAGCTTGGCTGCGACATTCTGCACTAGCTGCAGCTTCCAAATTTGCGACAAGGGCAACCTGATGTAGAGAGCGTTATAGTAGTCTAGTCTTGAGATGACCATCGCATGGATCACTGTGGCCAGGTCGTTGCGGTCGAGGAAGGGAACCAACTTCCTGATCAGCCGAAGATGGTAAAAGGCCGACTTGGCAGTGGCTGCTACCTGGGCCTCCATTGTTAAGGAGGAATCCAGGAGCACTCCCAAGCTCCTAACCTCTGGCACTGGCACCAATGTTGCCCACCGAAGATCGGGAGTGGTGTCCCCACCCGCGCCCCGACCCACACATCTTCTCTGGATTCAGTTTCAGCTGACTCAGCCTGAGCCAACCAGCCACAGCCTGTAATGCTCGGTCCAAATCTTCAGGACTGGAGTTCAACCGGCCATCCAGCATCAGATAGAGCTGGGTGTCATCAGCGTAGTGATGACACCCCAGTCCATAACTCCGGGCCATCTGGGCAAGGGGGCGCATATAGATGTTAAATAACATCGGGAAAAGCACTGCCCCTTGAGGCACTCCGCACTCCAGTGGCTGTCTCCTAGACTGTTGCTCCCCAAGTGCCACCCTTTGTCCCCGACCTGGGAAAAAGGAAGCAAGCCATTGCTAGGCAAGCCCCTGTATTCCCATGTCGGCGAGGCAGTGAAGCAGCAACTGATGGTCGACCGTGTCAAACGCAGCCGACAGGTCCAACAACATTAGTACCGCCGAACCGCCCCGATGCAGATGTCTCCAGAGATCGTCAGTCAGAGCGACCAGTGCCGTCTCCGTCCCGTGTCCCAGGTGGAAGCCGGACTGGAAGTGATCTAACATGAAAGTATCATCCATAAAGCCGTATAACTGTATCGCCACCGCCATCTCAATTAATTTGCCCAAATAAGGCAAATTAGAAGCCCGCCGGTAATTAGCCAATTCAGCCAGATCTGGTGATGTTTTTTTTAAGAGTGGGCAGACCATCACTTCCTTGAGTTCCCCCGGGAACAGCCCCTCTAGGAAGGACTTGTTGATCATTTCCCTCAGGGCACCTCGAAACCCCTCGTGGCCCGCTTTAATTAGCCAGGAAGGGCACAGATCAAAGCTGCATGTGGTTGGGCGTACAGTCAAGAGCAATCTGTCAACTTCCTCCAGGCTGAGTGGGCTGAAATGATCCAAAACCGGAGCTGAAGACATGCTTGGGGCCTTGAGCTCACTCACTGTTTCAACTGTGGCGGGGAGGTCGCGGTGTAGTGTCAAGACTTTATCCGCAAAGTAGCTCGCAAATGCCTCACAGCCAATATCCAATTCACTAGCGTTTGGTCTGCCCTGCAGCAGAGCTGTTATAGACCGAATCATTCTAAACTATTGGGCTGGGTGTGAGCTCGCGGATGCAGTCGCCACCGCATAGTAATCTTTCTTCGCAGCTTTGACTGCCATCTCATAGGATCTCATAAACGTCCTATAGGATGCTCTTGTAGCTTCCTACACGAGCGCGAAGCCACCGTCTCTCTAGCCATCTCAGCTCTCGCTTCATAAGCCGTAACTCCTGGGTAAACCAAGGAGCAAGCCTGGAGCGAGGGTGCAGAGGGCACCGGGGAGCGATCTCGTCGATGGCTGCAGAGAGCCGGCTATGCCAGTCCTCTACAAGCTCATCCAACAAGCTGCTGGGGGGCATTGGATCCCGTAGAGCCATTCAAAGCCGCATTGGGTCCATCTGGCTCCGCAAGCGAGCAAAAATGCGTTCACCACCTAAACAGGGTCGGAGCGGCACATTCAGGCAGGCCCTCAGGGCAAGGTGGTCCGACCATGGGACTGCCTGAGCAGTAACTTGGCCCACTGTTACCCCCGCCACAAAAATCAAATCGAGCATGTGTTCAGCACAGTGTGTGTGTGTCGTTACATATTGGGAGAGTCCTAGTGCCGCCATGGATCACACCAAGTCCGCTGCCTGAGTGGAGGTCGCATCATCAGCATGAACATTGAAATCACCCCAGACTATCAGTCTAGGGTGCTCCAATGCCCAGCCTGATACGGCCTCCATCAGGGACGGTAGGCTATTGGCCGGTGTGTTAGGCGGTCGGTACACCAGCCAAATCGCGACGCTCTCCCTGGCCTCCCATACCAGGCTGGCATACTCAGTGCCCGTGATCCTTGGCAGCGGGAGAACCCTGAAGGAGGAAGCCTCCCAAATGAATATAGCCACTCCTCCCCCCCACCCCCAAGTCTGTGATTGATGAAGGACCGAGAAGGGCAAGCTGGGAGAGAGCTACTGTCTCCCCTTCCCGCACCCAAGTCTCAGTCACGCACGCCAGGTCTACCCTCTGTTCTTGCACGAAATCCAGAAGGACCATGGTCTTATTATTGATAGACCTGGCGTTACACAGCACCAGTGTCGGAGGGGGGTTAATCGTCCTTGTTCCCTCTAAGCTGTGGAGTCTTCTGAGCAAAAATTCTACTTCATGAGCTACCAACATTACAATTGTGAGCGAGCAATTTGGCTACTGCACAAATTAGTTTGCTCTGGAGCCATCCTTCCTGAGCGAAGACAAAAATGTGTGAGCTGGAGGCTAAAAAACGGTGAACTTGCTCACACTAACTCAGCTTAGAGGGAACACTGCCACCACACTAACACTAACCCACAAAGATGCCATCTTTTATTGACTTGAATCTCCCCATCTCCAATTGGAAAAAGATAATTTAGGAGAGGGATCTATGTAACTACAGTTCTGCTGGGTTTCACAAGCATCAGGCTAAACAAGAATAAAAAGAAATGGTGAAAACATGGAGCCCTGTTAACCCCATATCTATGCTTATGCTAAACGATGTTGAATTAGGATAGACTAGTACCTCTGGAAGTTGCAGTCCTCCATTACCTTGGTTCTCAGGGTCTGGGACTTCTCCTCATTGTTCCCCAGCACATAGGATGGAATTTCCTCATGAAGAGTTTTTCTTCCATAGCTTTTGGCAACAACTCTTAGGTAGGTAGGAGATAAGAGAGAGCCTCTTCCTTCTGTCCAGAGAATCTATAATCTCATCCTCTAGGGTTATTCTCAATCTTCCTATCCCAAATGGAAGCATAACAGCCTAGCCTTCTGGCTTTCCAATCTCTGGCCCTTAGGTGTGACGACTAACTGAGGTGTTACCGTAGATGGTAAACCTTTTGTCTTACTTCAGCCAGAGCCATTTACATTTCTGAGCACTGGTGTGATTGGGCATTGATAAGTCATCCCACGATGGCACCCTTCCTTTTCCCCAGCTGCTTGCTTGCAGCAAAGCTCTTGTAACATGGATACAGTATAAATCCAGTTACTGACATATAAAGGCGACCTATAGGGTGGAAGGTATTTCTCCACACACCCCGAGGAGCAAATTTCCTGGAAAGGGCCTTGGAAAAATTACTTCAGGAAGCTAGCAGATGGAGAAAAGGAGCATCGCCCACTTCCTGGCCTGTCTGCTGTGTAGTAGTGTGTTATCCTGCATAGCACAGCTGGACAGAGCTGGGCTGTTTACACAACAGGAGGTTGTGGGTAGAGAATGAGGAGGTGTACCATTTTTTTAAAAAATTCCTGGCAGGAAAGAGGGGCCATTTTCCCCAGTCTCTGTGATTTGCCTATGGGTTGCTCTTAACAGCAGCTGCCTTTGACAGATTGCTGGTTGTTTTCTTCTCCCCATTCTGAGCCAGGGCAGGATGGAAAAATTCCAAGAACTGTGTCAGCCAAATAGCAGGAAATGATTTTGATCTATCGACCTCCTCTGCAAGATTGGCCCAGTACACATCCACTGAGATAACTCTGCTGCTGGTCAGCAGCAGAAACACTTTGGCACAGCTCCTGTGGCTCTTTGTCCTCCAGCCGTTGCCAAACCTCCTGGAAGTCCATCATTGCTCAGCCAGAGCAAGCAGGTCTCTGTGGCGCAATCGGTCAGCGCATCTGGCTGTTAACCGGAAGGATGGTGGTTCGAGCCCACCCGGGGACATCTGTGGACAGGCCATGCCCTAGACGAGGTGGCCGAGTGGTCAAGGCGATGGACTGCTAATCCATTGTGCTCTGCACGCGTGGGTTCGAATCCCACCCTCGTCGACTCCTTTTGCCATAGGCTGAGAAGACAGCCTTGGCTCTCACTGGCACATCCTGAGTTGGCAATAGTTTCAAAAGAGGAGGCAGAGATGCACCAACTGGAACTTGACCCCAGGCTGCAAGAGTGGTAACCTCACATAATGCCCCTACATCACTGGTGCAGGCACTGAGGGATTGTTCCCCTGAGGTGCCTCTTTCTTAGAAATGGCCTCACAAATATTACTTCAAGGAGGCAACAGAGGTGTGTGTGTGTGGGGGGGGGACTGCAGGCTTCTGTCTCCCAAGGGTAAGGAGGGCATGGGGCACCTTGATTGGCTATGTGGTGGGGGGTCCTGTGTGTGGCATCTGGCTGGTGCTGACCCACAATGGAAGGCTGCAAGTTCTGTCCATGTTACAGACTGTTGTTTTTTTTCTACATATATCCCATGGTTTGCCCTGGATCTTCCAGACAGGGATTGGCTGGTGGTGGAGGTAAATAGGCCCTATTTAAGCACAGCAGAATCTGTCTAGGCCCTTCTCCCTGAACACTAAAGCTGCCATCCCCGTTGCAGAACTCCTGGAGCATATTCTTATTGGGCCATTTTTTTTCTTTTCATGAATTACTGAAGTAGTGCTTTCTGCATACCAATGGAGCCTCTGAGTACGAGGAGCCGCCATAGTACAGGTGCTTCCCCAGATGGCCCAGGGGCCAGTCCCTCCACTCGTCAGTTTGGTGTAGTAGTTAGGAGTGCGGACTCTAATCTGGGAGAACCGGGTTTGATTCCCCACCACTCCACATGCAACTGTTGGTGTGACCTTGGGTCAGTCACAAGTTATTTCAGAGCTTTTTCTCTCAAGAGCAGTTCTGAAAGAGCTCTCTCAGCCCCACCTACTTCACAGGGTGTCTGTTGTGGGGAAAGGAGATTGTAAGCCATCCTGAGACTCCTTTGGGTAGTGAAGGGCAGGGTATAAATCCCTGAGCCACCCTGAGCCCATTTGGGGAGGGCGGGATATAAATTTAATAAATAAATAAATAAAATCCAGTCTTTTCTTCTTCTTCTCTTCTAGTCTCTCAGATAGTCCCTGAGCTGGCCTTTAATTCTCTTCCATCTCCTCACCACCTGTTTGCATCATGTCTTAAAATTCATTATTTTTTAATTTTCCCCATTTCTCATTATGATTGCACCTCTTTTTAATGTTGAAAACTGCCATGCATGCACTGACAGAAAAGCAGCACACAGCAATAATAATTAAATCAACTGAAATTGAAGAGTTAAACGTATGTTGAAACATCTCCCATTACAGATCAGTGGGGCTGAAAAGGGTCTAGTTTGGGCTGGATTGCCCCTTTGGCACCCTCTGATTACCCTCTCTTGGCCCTTTGTCTTCCAGCCATGATCAGCCTTCTGAAAATTTGGGAAGGCCCAGCTGCATCATCCTAGCAAGCAGGTCTCTGTGGCACAATTGGTTAGTGCATTTGGTTAATTGGACAGATGCTGGTTTGAGCCCACCTGGGGACATCTGTGGATTGGCCAGACCTTTGATGAGGTGGCTGAGATGTATAATGTATAAATGGGCCCCTTTTGCCATAACTTTGGGAGGAGGGCTTGGCTATCACTGGCACCTCTTGGCAAAGATACCAAAAGAGGCAAAGATGGGCCAAGCGGGACTTGAACTCAGGTCACAGGATTGGCAACCTCCCATGATGCCTCTAGTTCACTGGCACAGGTACTGAGAGTTTTTTGCCGATACCCTTCTTTCCTGGAAAGAGCCTTGGAAGCATTACTTCAGAGAGACAGCAGAAGGCCGCCTGGTTCCTCAGCAATCTCTGCTCTGCCAAAGGAATGTAACAGTTGGTCTTGCATGGCACATCTGGCTTTTGCTGGGCCAGCGTGGCAGACTGTGGGGTTTAATCCTGTCGTGGGCAGGATACAGGGTGGAAGAGGGCTGTATCTTTAGGGGAAACAATTGGCCATGGGAAAGGATGGCCATTTTCCCAGCTGTTACTCAGCTATTGGCTGCTTTAAACCACCTGTGTGCCTTAGGGAAAGCTTGTGATGGGAAGGCAGGGAGGAAAAATGGAAAGGACAGAAAAACAAAAGCACAGCTGCCTAGCAGAGGATGTTTTTTATCTATCGACCTCTCAGTTATGGGCCCAGTACGCTTCCACTGTGCCACTCAGCTGGCTAGCTGAAATGCCTTAGTGTGGCTCCTGAGGCCCTAGCCATGCCTGGACTCTGTAAAGGCAACTTAGGGGATATATGGGGCATGATGGAGCTCCTCAGCTGGGTGTATATAGTGTGTAGTTCTGCACGGCACAGCTAGCTTGGGCTGGCCAGTTTCAGGATGGAGGGGTGGGTTCTGTACCTTTTACTGACAGATGTGCTATTTCTGCATATATTTCATAGCAGGAGGGAAGGCAGCACATTATAGCCTGATCTCATCAGATCTTGGAAGCTAAAGCAGGGACAGTACTTGGAAGGGAGACCACCAAGGAAGGCTCTGCAGAGGAAGGCAATGGCCAACCACCTCTGATTCTCACTTGCCTTGAAAGCCCCTTGCTGGGGCCACCATAAGTCATTTGCAACTTAATGGCACTTTACACACACACACACACACACACACAGTCATGAACCCAAGCATGGGTCCCCCCCAGGTCACCTCTCCTTTCACTAAAAAGCAGTGCCAGACCTGTGGGTCGTCAAGGATATGTGCACACAAGTAAACTGACCTTTGTAAAATGTATAAAGGTTTATTAGATAGCTTTAAAAAACAAGATATTACTATGCAATGCAGTCTCTGCAGTTTACTAGCAAGGAAACAACAATGCTAAGTTTCTATCTAATACATTCAATACCGAGAGATGGCGCCTTCTTAAATACAAGAGTCCAAGCTATAGGATTAAGTGTTCTCTACACAGCTGTCCATGGTGATGTAGCATAATACAGTCATAGCATGGGCATATCATAAAATTTGCCTGGCTTCACTCTGGCCCACAGCCTAATTATAGGTTTTTTGCCCCGACACCAGGTGTTCACTCAAACCCAATCAGACAGCTGTTTGCTGAAGTTCTCAAAAGGCATTTATTTTCACCATGTTTGAACCCAACTGAGCACAGGTCCTCACAATTAACCAATTATCAGTTTTGGATGGCCTTGAAAGAGATAAAGATGATGTCAGCAGAAAGGCCTCCTTATGAACACCTGCGAGCCATGTTAGCCGAATTGCTTTATCTACAGCAATTGGCAAATTTTAAACTGTGTGCTTGCCAACTATACCAAAGTTCTGTTCCCACCGAGGGTTACCAGAGAGGGAGTCGAGGCTGGTGTTGTTAAAATAAATGTCTTTTACTTAAGAAAATGTCACATACAAAGAATACTGATGCACGCACACATTCAATGAAGTTCCTTAGAAATACAGTAGTAAAATAAGCACTTTTGCATTAGCAGGTAGGGTTGATGATGGGTGATACTTATCTGTCTTCACAGCTTGGTGATCCCAATGAAGAATGGATGGGGAGAAATGGAAATCTAAGGGAGTTTAACACACAACCAGAACCAGCCAGCACGTGTGGGTCTCTTGACTGCAGATCAAGAGATCAAAGTAGAGGCAAGGGTTTGGGTATAGCAAGCTGGACAAAAGGGGAGTATAAAGCAGACAGGGGTTGTTGCAGGGAATGCTAGTTAGGAAGGGCCAGGTGAATGGTCCCAACTTTATATAGGTGGTCCATTGGATGGGAGGTAACAGTTCCAACCTGTGGATCCACCTACCTATTCGTCCGTCCCAAAAACAATCCTATTGGTTGCCTATAGGAGTGGGAGGTTGCCTATAAGGAGTGGTCAGTATTGAAATCTAAACCTTACTCAAAGAGGGCCATCTGGTCAGGTGTGAAACCTTGGTGTGAAGTGTAGATGAAGCTTGGCCATTCCCTTTGTGAAACAAATATCCATTTGGCAGGAAATACCAAAGTAGAATAAAGCATGGATGTGTTGTACGTGATCCCAACTGATTCAGCAATGGGGGCTGTCTCTGCTCAAGTTGTTGTTTTGCTGACAATAATGGAGATGTGTGCTTCCCCACCAGGCTGGTGCCCTATAGCTGAAACATCATTCACGTGTAAGGCTTATGCAGGCACCTTCTATGTGTAGTATCACAACAGGCGACTTGTACAGCTTTCTTTGAGCCTATGGGTGTATGTGCACAGTCCATTGTGTGTGTAACAACAAACATAGTCCATGAAGCAAATATCAATCTCATTCCTTAACAGCCAGATCAAACCTGCTAATATTCATGTCAACCCTTGAGGGAAATCAGGGTGCTTTGCCTTACATACATATACCACGGTTTGCCCTTTATCTTCCAGATGGTGAGGTTCTGTGTGTGTAAATAGCTGCTCAGAAGTGTCTCTCTGTGCTGTTCTCTCAACATCACTTAGCTGGTTTCTGTAGCATGGTGGTTATCATGTTTGCCTCACAGCCAAAACCAGGCAGAAATGACAGTAGTTGCTTGAGAGGCTGTGGCTCAGTGGTATGCAGAAGGTCCCACGTTCAGTCCCCCACCTCTCCAGTTAAATGATCCAACAGTAGGTGAGGTGAAAGACGTCTGCCTGAGACCCTGGAGAGCCACAGCCATTCCAAGTAGACAGTACTGACTTTGATGGACCAATGGTCTGATTCAGTATAAGGCAGCTTCATGAGTTCATGTGTACTTTGTGCCAAACTGAATGAGACATTGTCCATAGTTATACATTTGGCTGATCATAACTGGTAATCTGGCTGTACAGACATATGTTCATAGCTGTCACCACTTTCTGCCTGTGTCCACTCTGTCTCCCAGTTCTCATAAAGGTGTGTTGTCATGTATACCTTTATGATACCAGCCAACCATCTTTGCAACAGAAGCTGTACTATACAGAGTATTAAATCTTTTTGGAGCATTCCCTGCCTTTTGTCTCCAGCTGTTCCTGCATTTCTGAAGGCAAACCACAGGTGGAGCCATTTCCCTTTAGTCTTATTTTGTGTGTGCGTGTATGTGGGGGGGTTATGATTTGTTTAAAAACTGCATTTAAGACACATCCATTCATCTGAATCTGTGAATGTACATTTTGAAATTCATAAAATCTTGCCAACCAGTCATTATTGCTGGACACCTCATTTGGTGAATGCTGCTGCTTTTACCACAATGTCATCTTGTGGCCCTGTGGATCTCTGCAACAAGAAAAAACTAACTTTATAGGACTTTGGAATGTGTGTAAAGTTACAGGGGCCATGAGAGGCCATCTGGCTAATGGGAAATGTTTGGCAGAATCCAAACAAGAACAAGTGATCACCCTACGACAAGAACGATTACTCCTGATGTGACTAATGGCATGTGTCTTGCATACATAAACTCAGGACACTCACATGAACATAAGAAGTGTTCTCCTCTGTGAGACCAGTGGTCCATCTAATCCAGCATCCTGTTTCTCACGGTGGTCAACTAGGTGCCTTGGAAGGCCACCAAAACAGCACAGAGGCCAAGGCCTTCCCCCTGATGCTGCCTTTTAGCACTGGGTTTCAGAATTTATGATGGCTTGTGGCCATCATAACATAAGAACATAACAGAAGCCAATGTTGGATCAGGCCAATGACCAATCGAGTCCAACACTCTGTCACACAGTGGCCAAAAATACCAGGTCCACTGGCAGTGGACACACAGTGGCCAAAAATAACGTCCACTGGCAGTGAGTTCTACAATTTAATGACTCACTGAGAACACAAGTATTTCTTCTTGTCCATCCTGAACCTATTGCCCATCAACTTCACTGGGATCCCCCAAGTTCTTGTATTACAGGAGAGCAAGAAAAATCTTCACTCTATCCACATTCTCTACCGTATGTATAATTTTATATATCTGCAACATGTCTCTGCTTAGCTGTCTTTTTTCTCAACTGAAAAGCCCTGGACTCTTTAGCCTTTCCTCATGAAAAACATAGTCCAGTCCCTTCATCACCTTGATTGCCCAATTCTGCAATTTTTCCAGCTCTACAATACCTTTTTTTCTTCCAAATATGGTGACCAGAAGTGTATGCAGTATTGCAAATCAGACTGCACCATCTACACAGGGACAGTATAATAGTGAACATTTTATTTTCAGTCCCTTGCCAAATACATACTACTTTTCCCATTATGGCTGCGCACTGAATTGACATTTTCATCAAACTGTCTACTACAACTCCAAGATACTCCAGGTTGTTTTAGATCTGAGTGTAATAAATAAAATATACCTGAAAGGAAGACTAGGTCCCCCCCCAAGTTGTTAATTCCCATACAAGTTACAATAATGTACAATAATTTTTGTTAAAATGGTTTGTAACCATTTTAGGGGTATTATCTTACATTCAGGGTTGTTTTCCTTTCAGATAAATTTGGTAACTTACTTTCACTCCCAAGAGCAGCAGTTCTACCTAATTGCATGAGTAACATTTAGTTACTCCGTAACAAAGGTCATTTTAATTTTCCTATGATAACCTCTGATTTATTGAAACAAGTAGAGATCCAAATGCTTGCAAAGGTTTTCAAACATGGTGAAAACAAATGCTAATTTCATCCGCATCAAACTTCCTTTTCTCTGAGCTTCAGTCTGAACCATATATCCAACCCTGAGCCATCACCTGCAGCTGAATCAAGTGGGGGGGGCAGCATCAGGGGCACAATTCTCTCTTGATCCCCTGCGATGGCCTCAGTCCTGCTATGATATTGGTCTGCACAGCTTTCCCAGCCAGCTTGGCTTCAATAGCCTTAATATCATTGCAACACTGCATCAGCTGGGCCTTGGTATTCCGGAACTCCAAATCCGAGATCCAATGCTCAGCATCAACGGTGCAGCCAGAGAGGTTCTTTAGGGCCTTCTGCATGTCAGCCACTGTGGGGTGCAGCCTGGAGACCGTAGACTTAATTTCTGCCGTGTCTGCAGCTATCTGCTCCAGTACTGTCAATATATGTGCCACAATAGGCTCAGCAGCCATTTTGTCTAGAAGGGAAGAGGAGGGAGCTCTTTGCCAAGATTTCGCTTCCCTGGTGTATGAGGAAGAAGCTGTCTCTGAGGTGGTTCTGTGCTCCTCTGTTGCTGTTTGTGGAGTTTCATGGGGCTGGGCATTAATATTTACAGAACTGTTTTTTCTCAGGCCCATTTGCAGCTCAGGAAATCTGCATCCCCGTTTTCTGGAGGCCCAACAGTTCCAATTCAGACGTTTATGTAGCTTCCCTCCTGGGGAAATCCTCCACTGTGTCCCCAGGACAGATCTGACAGGCATGTTTCTCCCACTACAAGGTTTTCTTTTTTTGCCAAACTTTCTGTGTTTTACCAAAACTGAGAGACTGCTGGAATTTCCCCCAGAATCAGAGCAGGTGGGCTGTGTGGTAGAAGCTGAACTCTGAATGAAGTGTCTCTTATTACTGGGGCCTTCAAACAGCTCTTCTCCTTGGCTGTTTTGACTACTGTTACATTCTGAAGATTCCTCAGGATTGGGGCCTGTAGGCTGGGGCTCTGGTGTTGGTTGAGAATGTAAGAGAAGCTGGTCTTCGGTCAGTTCTGGCAAACCATTTCTAGAAAGAATGGATGTCGTTTCTCCTCCTTCCTGCCCTGGGCTACTGATCTGCTCCCTGTCCAGAATGATGGTCTTCTGACTGATTAAGGCTGCTGTCCCATTCACATTTTCCCCGGAGTAAGTCCTATTCAATTCAGTGAATGAGTAAGCGTATATTGGCTCAGGCAGAGAATCTTTCTCAGGACTCTGGGAAATTTCTTCTTCTGATATAAATGACGATCCCTCAGGTAGGGTCACACATTCCAAGTCATCCTCTGTGGTGATGTTCTGATCATGGAGAAGTGTTAAGGATTCATCTTGGTCCCCACCATCAACAGCCATGCAGAGAGTCCCCTGCCCTGGCCTATTGTCTTGATGGTCCCTCAAGGCTTTTCTAAAAGGAATTAAATTCTCTTCCACTCTAGAGTTGTTTGACTGCTGCCTCTCCACATCCTTCTGGCCCTCCTTGATTAAATTTTCCTCAGGATTCTGAGGGATTTTCTTCTCTGAGTACTCCTGTATTGTGGGTTCAGCATCTTCATCTCTGGGGCTTTTCCTACTAGCAACAATTGAGGATGATTCTTCTCCTTTTCTATAATCATGACATACATACACAGTCCCCAAGCCTAGTTCAGCATCTGTGGCTATTTCCTTCAAACCACTGATGAAAAGACTGACATCTTTTTCCACTGAACTGCTTTTTGGCTGCCTTTCCAGATGGTTCTCCCTAATCAAATCTTGCTCAATGCTCCAGGAAATTTCCTTGTTGTATTTTTTCAGCAACTTCCCTTTAGGTTCAGAAGCTTCCTCGCAGGAGTCCTTTTCCCTCTTCCTGCCTGTCTCCACACCTGCTGAAGCAAAGGGGGGGGGAGTCAGCTCATTCCTGAAGTAATGCAGTAAAGCCTTTCATTTACTGATAAGATAATTTAGCAGTATATATATATATAATTAAATGCCTTATAATGTTCTTATCTCTCCTTATATATAATTGAATAGTGGGGTGGCACTTTCCAGCTCTCCCATTGGTTGTGCAATGCGCTCCATCAGCCGTTGGCCCATCAGTCGCCACTGAAGAGTACTCACGTGCCATTGGCCGGATGCTGGGTCTGCTCCTCTTCTCCACTCACTCCTACCTCACCCACTGTTCCCTGTCAGAATTACTGGCAAATAGCTGTCTCTCCCAATGAAGACACCTCCTGCTTGGCTCCTCTGTGGGACTAACTTTTCCCTCAGTGGCTGCTGGTAGAAGGAAACCATTTCCAGGTCCTTGTGAGGAACTCATTGGGGCCCGTCCTGACTAGGGTTGCCAGCTCCAGGTTAGGAAATTCCTGGATATTCTGTGTCTAAGGAAGCGTCTAAGGAAGCCAGTGTTTGGGGAGGGGAGAGGCCTCAGATGAATAGAATGCCATAGAGCCCACCCCTGAAGGGGGGGAGATGTCTGGAGTTGTTGTGATACCTGGTGATCTTCAGGCTCTACCTGGTTGGCTACCCTAGGCATAGCAGTCAGCGTTTCAGAGCAGGGTCTGCCAGGCAGATCTCAGTTCCCATATGGCATTATACCCTGATGAATCCTTCCCCTCCCCAAATGCTGCCCTCCACATGATCCGCCCCCCAACTCTCCAGGTATTTCCCTACTCAGAGCTGGTAACCCCACTTTCCCCTCAGTGCCTGTTGCTTGGAAAACAAGCTTGGTTCTGTCAGTAAAAGGCCCTTTCCATGCCTATTTTGGCCTTTGAGAGAAAAGTCATTGGGGCCAGTCCTGACTAGGGTTGCCAGCTCCAGGTAGGGAAATTCTTGGAGAGTTTATAGTAGAGTCTGTGATACCTGTCGATCTTCGGGCTCCACCTGGAGGTTGGCTACCCTAGGCGTAGCAGTCAGTGCTTCAGAGCATGGTCTGCTAGACCCAGGTTCTTGCTGTGGAAGCTGAGTGGGTGATTTTGGACCAGTCACAAACTTTCAGCCTAAACTACCTCACAGGGTTGTTGTGCAAGTCAAAAGGGAAAGAAGAGAATGATGTAAGCTACTTTGGTCCCCATTGTAGAGAAAAACTACTTTTCCTCTTGGGGAAACCATTGTTGCCGATTTCCAGGTGAAGGTTGGAGATCACTCAGAATTACATCTGCTCTCCAGATGGCAGACACAGTTCCCCTGGAGAAAATGGTGGACTGTGTCCTTATATCCTGCTGAGATGGCCCTCCTATGACAGCCAATGTGATGTAGCAGTCAGGGCTTCAGAGCATGGTAGAGGCTGCAGGTGTGTGTGCGGGGGGGGGAGATTTTAAAAGCTGAAGAGTGAAGGGCAGATAACAGCAGGTTGATGCTTGGCTGGGAAGGAGATAGAGTTGCCAACTCCAGGTTGGGAAATTCATGGAGACTTGAGGGGTGGAGCCTGGAGAGGGTTGGGTTTGAGGAGGGATGGGACCTCAGACAGGTACAGTGCCATAGACTCCACCCTCCAAATCAGCTATTTCCTCCTGGGGAACCATTGTTGCCAATCTGGTGAACCACTGTTGCCAATCTCCAGGTGAGGGGTGGAGATCACTCAAAATTACAACTTCTCTTCAGGTAGCAGAGATCAGTTCCTCTGAAGAAAATGGTGGACTCTGTGTCATTATACTCTGCTGAGATCGTCACAGCAAATTGATGCTGAGTGCCCAAAGCCGGGGCACTCTCCCAGAGCCTCTTTCTAGAACTTGTGTTTATTTCCACAACGGGTGGTTTTGTTTTTATCAACATACTGGAAATATGTTTATAAAAACAAAACCACCCATCAGACTTCTCTTGGGATTTTTGTTATTCTACTCTGGGTATTTAAGTGACGGTCTTTGTGCTACTCAGAAAGCTTCATTGGTAGGGCAGACATTAGCACTGACACATAGGGTTGCCAAATGACTGAAGAAAAATGTCCTGCCCCTTTAGTAGAGGCTTAATGGGATGTTATTTATGCCATATGATATTATTTCCCTTTGTTCCAGTTAAAAAAAAGCCTTCAGCTGCCCATTTCCTCACATTAAGCCTCATTATACAGACATCTTTTTTTCAGGCGAGCTGGCAACCCTACTACCACACCTGCCCATACATCCATGTTCTGGCTCGGTCAGATTGGTCAGCTTGCCTGTTGAAAGGAATTAATAGGCCCTGAAAGATGGGGACAGTATCTCTTGTTCTGTTTGCACAGAACCCTGACCATATGGAGCACACACTATTTTAATGCCTTAGAGCCGATTTTCTTGGAATCAAGAGGGACACTTACTCAGCCAAGCCACATTATCGTAATTATGATGCATGACATTCCAATACAGTGTCTTTTCTTCATGGTTCAGCAAAGCCCATTCTTCCTCAGAGAAATGAACAGATATATCTTCAAAGGTGACCAGGTCCTGAAACAACCAGAAGGAAGTTATATTAATTATAGCCCTCTTTTACACAGACTTGGAGACAGGATTGCCAAGCAAATCTCAGATCAGTGATGGATCACTTGCATGTTCTTGGGTAAATCCAGAGTCCTTCAGCCTCAGTTTCCAGACTGAAAAGGGGGTATAATTAAAGCACCTTGAACAGTATTATTTATTTACATATTTAATTGTTTTTATCCCACCCTCCCTGCAAGCATGCTCAGGGTAGGTTACAACATACAATACACTGAACAAGAATAAACCCGTTTAAAAGCCCTAAAAACAACTATTCCAGATTCTGACTCAATCATAAGATGGCATTTCCAAAGCTTACAGGAGGCTGATGAAAACAGTGGTGGTCCTTCTTATCCTGACCGAAGAAGGGTGATATGTGTGGGGGGAGGGGGCGCACAAATTTTAAAAGAGAGAAATCTGCAAACACCTCCACACAATTAATTCTCCTGCCATCTAGACATTAGTACTAGACAATAGTAGACATTATGCCCCACTGCTATTAGCAACACAGAAGAGCTCATTCCCGCAAGACGTGATGACGGCCACTAACTCAGATAGCCTTAAGCGATTGGATAGCCTGGGAATCACAGTTGTAGAGAACTAAACAACAAGATAACTAACTGTGCGGTAAATGCTAAAACTAATTTTTACTAATTATTTTCATAACTCTTTGTAATGTGCAATAAAGATTTTCCAAAAAATATTTTGTGCAACAATAATTTTTCACCCCTATAATGAACAGTATAACCATACATTCTGCGACGTATACAGAGGAATAGTCCAATACTTGGTCATAACTTCATACACCACTCACGTGGTTTATACAGTAATTCCAAAGACACTCTGGACTCTTAACAATAAAGACATAAGAACTCTCTTTTATGACGTGGCTTCCAGTTCATGCCATCATTTTGTCATCTTCATCAGATAATTCTTTTGGGCTGTCCACTATCACCAATTCTCTTTGTGATAGCCCTGGAACCACTTGCATCAAAGATGCACCAAAATCCACAGATCCAAGGCATTAATATTGGACTGCATTCATTTAAACTCAGCATTTTTGCGGATGATATGTTATTGTATGTGACAAACCCAGAAAGGTCTCTTTGCCATCTTCACTCTACTCTTCAGGCCTTCAGTCAAATCTCAGGTTTGATAATCAATCAGTAGAAGTCAAGCATACTGACTTTTAATTTAACTGTGGAGATTGAGTACCATATCTGAGAAAATTACAAATATCAATGGGTCACAAAACTCTTCCCTACCTTGGAATCCATATACTTCATAAGCTGACAGACTTATTTAAGTTTAATCACATTGTCAAAGTCCAAGAAATCAAATCAAACCTGCAAAAATGGAATAAACAGAACTTATCTCTTCTTGACAGGCTGCACTTGGTTAAGCCATTTACATTTCCCAAATTATTATTCCTACTTCGCACTTTACCCATTGCGATACCTGTCCTGTCCACATGCTGAAAGAGTGGCAATGCATATTCAACACCTTCTTATGGAACCATAAAAGGCCAAGAATAAGTTTCCAAACAATCAGACGCTGCAAATCTCAGGGTGGTTTAAAGTATCTGGACTTGATTACATATCACCAAACAACATTACTCGCATTAATTATTAAGATGATAAGGAAAGGAGACCAAGCTGACTGGATTAAACCACTCCATCATTTTCTCTATCCCAAAACAATACAGGAAGTCATCTGGAATGATCCTCGGGAGCGCCCGGTCTTGGCAAGACACAATATTTTCCTCTCGGTGATACTAAAACCCTGGGATCACCTCAAGACTAAGATAATCCCCAAAACATCTAGATTGTCTTCATTTGTATTTCAATGCTGGTTCCCTCCAGGAAATGACTCGGCATTTGCCAACATTTGGAGACGCGCTAATGTAACACATCTCATGGATCTCTCGTCCAATACAGGCTTCCTCCCCAAATCAACACTGGGACATAAACTGGAGCAAGCTATACCATGGTTTCTCTACCTGCAATTAAATCATGCATTGAAACAATTTGATTTGACAGACATTATGTGCACACCTCTAACTCCCTTTGAGCAGCTCTTAGATCCTGCAGACCAGAATTTTAAAGGTTTAATATGCCTTGATGGTGATAAATCAATGAACTGTCAACAACAATGGCACCATGATTGCAATGAAATCTTTACTGACCTACGATGGAAGACCATCTGGTCTTCAAAACTAATGGCATCTCCTGTTCTTGCCACAAAGCTACAAGCTTACAAGATCATCACCAGATGGTGCCGTACTCTGGAAAAACTTGCTACAATAACATCAAAGCACTCTTCCTCTTGCTGGAAAACATGTGGAGAATTGGGTTCTTTTGCCCACTGTTGGTGGCAATGCAAAGTCATATCTGACTTCTGGCAGGACATCTCGTTCCAAATACAAAACATCATGGGCTACCTTATACCGTTTTCACCAGAATTAATATTTTTAGATATCTGGCATAATGTTGACATCCTAAGGATTAAACAGGATCTAATTACTAGCCTCCTGGTTGCAGCAAAGAGCTCAATTGCTTCTAAATGGAAATCTCCTTTGGCCCCATCAAGCAATACCTGGTTCAACAAAGTTTGGGACCATTACATTATGGGGAAAAAATCACAGACTGTCTCCAACAGTCAGAAATCTATCCAAAGACTTCCAACTTCACCGAAAAATGGTTACCATTCTTGGATTACGTTCTACAGAATGACTGCCAGCCATATAATCCTAATAACTAACCTTATTACATTCTTAATGCACATTTTGTATCACAGATCTCTTTCTTATTCCTAGTATAGTACATATGGTCATGATGTCACCTGATAAAGTTGAGAACCTTCATGTTAACATCATTAACACGACACACACACACAACTAACTATATTCCAGTTTACCTGTCAATCGTTTTTGTTTGTTTGTACTCTGTCATATTTATGTATGCTTGTAAGTTTCAGATGGTGTCACAATTGTCAGCAGTTCTGATCATTTTTGAGGTTATTTCTGTGCACTATTATTTCTAACTGTATTATTTGAAAAATCAATAAAAATAATTTTAAAAAAATATATAATTCTTTTCATCAGGCAGTGAAGAAATAGAAAATTGTCTGTGGAAAATCAAATTTCATGTCAAGTTCTTACACAGAGCTCACTGTTAAGAGGAATAAATCCACTGGAACATCACTTACAACAGCAATATTTTCAACCAGCCTTGTGCGGGCTGAGTCATCTACATCATTTGTTATCATTTCAGAATTAGTGTCTGGAGAAATATCTCCTGGCATAACATCAGAGGAGCCTGCCGATGGAGAAAAGCGATTAAATACTAAGACTGAGGCAGACTACTGAGGAAAAGGGGTCAAAAAATAGTCACTAATCGATTGTTTAGAAGCAGGAGAAGGAGTCTCCTCTAGGTCTCTCATACATTTATGGGGCCTCATTGCCTCTAATCACCAGATATTAAAGTGCATGGTGTTCCAGGGCTAAACAAATTATAACTGTGTCCTTCCTAAGCCACCCTGAACCAGCCTCAGCTGGGAGGGCATGTTATAAATCTGATAATAAATAAATCCTCTTTAAAAGCCATTTTTGGATGGTTTCAAACTCCCAAGAATTTATTTATTTATTTATTTATTTATTTATATTTTCGATTTATATTCCACCCTCCCTGCATGGGCAGGCTCAGGGCCTTTCCTTCTCTTTCTCTTTCCTTGAAAATACAAAAACCAAGATAGCTCAAAATGTTTGGCTGTTTTGAAAGATTCCCTGAGTTCCTTTGGTCTCCTGAGGGTTAACGCAAACAGACTAATCGCCGAGATAGGAATTGGCAAATTGCCTGGCTGCACAGTTGAAAATATACTAAGAAGCTCTACAGACAAGATAAAAAAGTACAAGTTAAACGTTGTTGTTTTATAAGCCTTAATTAAAACCTTAAAATTACAGCTTCACTCCTGCAGCCACCGCTGATACTGTAGATGTTTTCTCCCTTTATATTAACATAATTCACAATGAAGCCAGGTTATGCATACAATCCATATTAGATCAGAGACAAGATCAGTGACCACCGATTCATTTTATATTAGATCTTGTGGATTTAATCCTAGAAAAGAATTATTTTAGTTTCAATGGAGATTTTTATTTACAAATAAAGGGAGTTGCTATGGGCAGCGTTTTCGCTCCCAGCCTGGCCAACTTCTTTATGGCACAATTAGAAAATTATGTTATATGTAATAAGGATATTAGGCTTGTCCACTGTAAGAGTTATATTGATGATGTATTTCTAATATTCTCTGATTGCTTTGAGGTTGATAGGTTGATAGACTGGCTTAATACCATTCATCATTCGATAAAGTTTACTTGTCATCACAGTGCCAATACTGTTACATATCTGGATACTGCATTATTTAAAACAACCTACAATACCTTGGCAGTTAAGCCATTAATTAAAAATACAGATAAAGACTCCTTTTTGCATTTTAGCTCCCATCTTCCTAGGTATCTTAGACACAACCTACGTTATGGTCAATTCCTCAGCACCAGGAGGAACTCCTTCTATGAAGTAGACCTTCAGGTCTCAGTCTTCTAAGCTGGCTGTGCAGTTCAAAAATGTGGGTTACCCACACAGGGTAATCGAACAGGCACAGATCATGCCCAGTTAGAAGATCATCACAAATTACTTAGAGACAAGTCACATGCCTTTAATGTTACAAGCCTGTTTGATTTTTCTGCTCTAGTAGATTCTATAAAATGAACCATTTTAAAACATTGGCATTTGGTCAGAGATTTTCCAGGATGTGAGGAACAAACTTAAAGGTTTTAGGAAGATCAGGAGCCTCAGAAATGTCCTGATAAGATCTCATATTTTGCCCCCAATAAGAAACATTTTGTCAACAACA